GTATATAATGTTAATATATTATATAACGGTTCCCAGAGCTGGCACTAAAGTTAGCAACTCAATGCTAGGTCATAATATGTGATCAGTTATTGTTGAACACTCAGTATTGCTCGGATCACGTATCCGATCGATTTTGAAATGGTCATAACTCAGCCAAATTTTGAACAATGAACTGAAACTTTGGGAAAGGTTTAAATTATCAAGCCAAATGTGTGCACAAAATTTTGAGTTCTTAGCTTTTAACGCGTTCTCATTTTATGAAGACAATAGTAAAAAAGAGGGAGTGTCACGCCACGCCCACTGTAATTGGGATTACGAAACTTTCAGGAAATCTAAGTTTGACCCATATCTATAATCTCTGAAATTTTGGTGCAATTTGGAGACGAATAACGTGAGTTATTAAAGTAATAGTTACTTATGGGCCACCCTGTACATACCATAGTAACCATGACTACATACCATTGCATAGTGACCATGACTACATAGTACATACCATAGTAACCATGACTACATACCATAGCAATATGTACATTGATAGATATTACTCCCCTCTATCAGAAACAACTAACTAAAAAGTCGATTTTGAGAAAATTTCCATGAAGACCCCCCTGTCCCCATAATACAGTCAAGTCGGCCATAGACAATTGTCTTACACGTTATCAATATGTCCTAGCTAATAAAGGACGATGGGTTGAGCAAATTATTAATTATTAAGTATTTTAATTGTATTATTATAAAAAGTATATATTTTCATTACCTAAATATGCAAAAACTAAGTGGAAATTTCATTTGTCAAAAAAATTAGAGCCATTTACTTTCCACACACTATTTTCAACTCACCCTGTAGTCTTACTCACAGTAGACTCCTCAAGTTGCATTTGCAGTTGTCTGTAAAACTGTAACTATAGCAACTAACTCTTTTTGTGAGATAATGCCCCATTCCTGACCTCCTAAAATATTTTAAAGTTTGTAGATAATATCTTGATACGTGGCTACCCTCATTCTCCGGACTTTAATTTGGAGGCTCCTATTTTACCAATTAATCAAAATTCGAAACCTTTAAGTTTAGAATACCTAGTAGCAACTATACTATACCACATACCTGGGCCAGTGAGATGAGATTAGAATTTAATAGATCTAATTACTAGATACAGTGGTGTGAACAGTATGTGAACTGTGGTATGTGAATCTTATTGAACACCTGGTGGTTTGTTTGGTAAGGTAATTATTAATTACTGCTAATTAAGGTAATTGTATTGATCACCACTGGAGAATATCAGAGTTCCGTTCTCAGTGTGTATTTTACAACAACTCTTATTATTTTATTATTTTAGCATGTGTCTTGTACAGAGAGAATTACGCAAAATAACTGTGTTACACACTGTGTGATATTCATGTTATATACATTATTATACATGTAATATTCATATTATATACATTATTATACATTATTACATGTTCCGTGTAACTCCATAGGAACTGGATCAAATTTATTTTTACAGCAAACTGAGACACATCAAATTACATTGCATACATAGTACCCAGTCAACTCATTTGTGATTTTGGTACACTGAAATTTCCTAAAATGTTACATAATATAATAATCATTGACTTCCTTCACTTTCTATTTTTTTTGTTGAAACTTTATCTCTTTCTCTTTTTTGTGTTACCCCTAACTTTTCTCACACTCCAGTATACCGCCAACCGTATAATTTGATAACTATGATAATATGTAGTCATGCGCAGTACATCATACATGGTTACTATAGTTACTAAATGGTTACTATAGGTACTATGGTTACTATAGGTACTACGGTAAATACTGTGTGGTTAAGCTTTTTCTATTGGTTTTAACTGACAATTTTCTACAACTTTGTTACCATGGTAATAGTAATACTATTGCTGACATTAATTTTCTCAACGTTTAAATTATAATCTATATAAAGGTTTACCTAGTTTTCCATTGCAATAACTTAATTATTGCTATTACTTGTTAATTTATTAATGATCAAATTGTAATAGATAATTAAGACATGAAATAAAGATATAATGTAGTTTAGAACTAATTACAACACTACAAATCCATTACATTTATTATATGTTATATATATATTTTTTTCTTATTTATTTATTTTTTGATATATTTTATATATTATTATATATATATGTTATATATTTGAGAAGGAATTGTAGTAATCCTCCTCACGTCCTAAGATGGCGTTTCTCTTGTCTCATATACAGTGGCGCCACTGCTCATATATAAATATATTATCTTCATAATATGTTGGACGTTGGTTCGCAGTTCTAGAAGTTTAGAACTAGTAATCTTCCCTAATATGGAGCTGGAATATAAACTCACAGGAAAACTATTAGAATTATATGCTCACATGCTCTGGGGCGTTTCTATATGAGTATAAGGGTGTTTTAAAACACATACCCTGTTACAATACACACTGTTGTAAGAAACATTGACGTTACCATAGTAACACTACCTCCTGACTACTCCTGTTGCAAGTAACCTTGACTGATCCTGTTGCAAGTAACCTTGACTACTCCTGTTGCAAGTAACCTTGACTACTCCTGTTGCAAGTAACCTTGACTACTCCTGTTGCAAGTAACCTTGACTGCTCCTGTTGCAAGTAACCTTGACTACTCCTGTTGCAAATAACCTTGACTACTCCTGTTGCAAGTAACCTTGACTACTCCTGTTGCAAGTAACCTTGACTACTCCTGTTGCAAGTAACCTTGACTACTCCTGTTGCAAGTAACCTTGACTACTCCTGTTGCAAGTAACCTTGACTGCTCCTGTCGCAAGTAACCTTGACTACTCCTGTTGCAAGTAACCTTCCCGCCGCGCTGTCACAGCTTCTTAGTTTATCTACATTTCACTATACTACTATTATATATATATATATTATATATATATATATAATACTACTCATAGTATATACAAGCATAATCAATATCTGTATTATTATAGTTAATCAGTTCTTTGTATCCGGGTCATCCTGATGACTATCAACTGTTTTCTTGGCCCAAACACTCAACGCAGTTTATCCATACATATTATATATAATAATACAATGTAATGTGTGTAATCAATCATCACTATAACAATTTAAGGACTGTGAACTCTTAGAACAGTAGTATTACAGTAATGTATTATACATTATATAATAATATTTCATTATAACCAGTCTCTTCTTAATAATATGTACATACTTACATGAATATTATTATTATATACAATATACAATATAATACATATTATCATTATATACATTATACATTCATATTATATATATATTATACACACTACACATTTACATAGTTACACTGCTTCTTTTCAATTTAGTGTTTAGTTTGTTCTAATGAATTGGATGAACTTAAGACGGCTTCAGCGTTCTAGTATTAATTCGCTGTCTCCATACATAGCAAGTTCTACTGTGTCTCAAAAGATTGCGCGATCAGATACAATGCAGCACTGCGCGTGTTGGTACGTCATGACTAGCTCACGTTATACTATGACTACTTATAAATACTCTATACTGTTCACAGTGGTGCTATAGGGGCAATTAGAAGATTCCAGCGGGCTTCTAGCATTATATAGCTTACTACATTATGATATAATGTAGTAAGCTAATCCTAAAAGCTCTTGATAAAAGAATGTTGGTGTGATCCTAGTAAACATTGTAAAACAAATTCTTCCTGGTATTGTTTAATTCTGCTGATAGATCAATGGTCGCATATTTTCAACTGTTTGATATTGTGTGTAGTGTCAATCTGATCATGACACAAATCACAGGTATTTACTTCTGTTCAGTCTAATTCTGAAACAGATTTATTAATAAATAAATTCAAACATTTATTGCACGCTTCGAAATTAAAATATACTTTAAAAAGATCGATTTAAGTCATTCAAGCGAGACTTTTTTATTATTCACTAAACGTAAATGCAGCATCTGTCCGTATGAAGTGTGGTGCAGTAACCATAGTAACACGTCACGTGTTACCATAGTAACTGCGTGGTATCGGGGTTGAAGTAAAGTGAGCTGGTGAGAATTATTTAAAAATATTGTTGAATTATATGGGGATGCTGCTGCTGTGTATCAATCATCGTGTCTTGTATTCGTTTGAGCATCATCTGTGTGGAAATTTGTGTGTTTGTATAGTTTGTAGCGTATTAAAAGTCAGTTTGAGATACTACGCTTAGCCTTGTTCACGTTTCCAGCTTGTTTACATATTTGCAGTTTTAAGTCTCATTCTCGCAGGCTATGTCTTCAGCGGGCAGGAAAATGTCGCCTGCTAACGGGCTGTATCAGGAAATTGACGGGGCCTTTTTAAAGCGGCTGCGCACGCCCCGGTGTACAAAAAGAGCTGGTGGATATAATAATTATATAGTGTGATTTAGTTAGTGTCACTGTCACTCTCCCCTAATTCCAAGTCTAATTAAGCAATTAACAATGTACAATTATAAATCCTGCTACCTGCTATAAATATACTCCTTTTAGAGCAGGAATAAGATGGATCTACTTATCACATGATCTTCCACGAGTTGTGGTTGCAGACCACGTGACATTAATATAGCGCTGTGATTGGTCAATACATCCTCACAAGCTTACAAATACCAACGTGGTTTAAATTTAGCCTGCTCGCCTATTCCGTACCATTTTGACATTGTAGTGCTGTATTATATATTGTAGTGCTGTATTATAAATGATATTATTATTGTGTATTATACTCTGCTGTGGTATAGAGTTATACATTTAGTATATTATAACATAATATACTGTAGATATTGTGCGTTCTATATAACGAGTATTTGGTTTATAATAAACGGTTTGGTTTGAAGTGCTGCGTTTCTGTTGATTTTAGTGTAGGGACCTATCCTAGTCATGTCAGTGCGCTCTAATTGGTTTCGCCAGCAACGTTCTATTCATTTAAATTACATCTTATCTTATCTTATAATCTTACTATCTTTTAATACTTTCAAACTACTATATAACAAATAATTTGAGGTTATTACTGTGTTTTGAACGACGACTAGTGGGTTTATCAAGTACTTCTCACACTTACCACTATCATTACTTGGTTTCATTAGTAGAGAGGCTCAAATCCTTTACAGCAATGGTTAGCACTGATGTCTATAACAAGTTAGAAGCGATCAACAAAAGCATAAAAGGTACTGAAGAAGCTATCTACCTTACTCGGGAATATTATGACTGGGATAAAGTGGTGGGTTTTGGAAAATTCCGCCATATTTTTCCCGGTCATTAATTTTCCCAGTCATAAATTAACCCGCTATAATGTTCCCGAGTAAGGTAAACTAATAGTAATACATTTTGATGCTTGGTGGGTTTTGGAACATTCCGCCATATTTTTCCCGGTCATTAATTTTCCCAGTCATAAATTAACCCGCTATAATATTCCCGAGTAAGGTAGTTGATTTTTCAGATTTGGCCACGTTGAATAACAAGACGGATATTTTTAAAGTTTCGAAGGAACTATACAGTTTAAGTAAGAGAGCCTTGGCACTACTGAAGACCACTCTACTAAGGGGGGGGGGGGGGGGGATCATGTTTTTTTGTCCGTTTTTGTCCGTTTGGCAGCTATATTTTCAAAACGGACAAAAAATAAAGCGGACAAAAACGGACAAAAACGGACAAAAACGGACAAAAACGGACAAAAAATAACAAAAATTGAAATAACATTTAGATGCTTCCTCCTCCTCCTCTTCCTCCTCCTCCTCCTCCTCCTCCTCCTCCTCCTCCTCCTCCTTCTCCTCCTCCTCCTCCTCCTCCTCCTCCTCCTCTTCCACCTTCTCCTCCTCCTCCTCCTCAGCCATCCTCCTCAGCCATCCTCCTCAGTCCTCCTCAGTCCTCCTCAGTCCTCCTCAGTCCTCCTCCTCTGCAGTCCTCATCATCCTCCTCAGTCCTCCTCCTCCTGGGTCCTCCTCCTCCTCTTTATCCTCCTCCTCTTCCTCCTCAGTCCTCAGTCCTTCTCCTTAGTCCTCCTCCTCATCCTTTTCGTCAGTACTCCTCCTCCTCAGTCCTCCCCCAGTCCCCCTCCTCCTCCTATTCAGTCCTCCTCCTCAGTTCTCCTCCTTCTCATTCCTCCTTCTGAGTCCTCCTCATTCCTCCTTCTGAGTCCTCCTCCTCCTCCTCTTTCTCCTGAGTCCTCCTTTTGGGTCCTCTTTCTCCTCCTCCTTCTCAGTCCTCCTCCTCCTCCCTCTCAGTCATCCTCCTCAGTCATCCTCCTCAGCCATCCTCCTCAGCCATCCTCTTCAGCGATCCTCCTCAGTACTCCTCAGTCCTCCTCCTTCTCAGTCCTCCTCAGTCCTCCTCCTCAGTCATCCTTCTCCTCCTCCTCCTCCAGGGGGGATCCTGTTTTTTATCCGTTTTTTCCGTTCGGAACCCTATATTATCAAAACGGACAAAAAAAAGAGCGGACAAAAACGGACAAAAACGGACAAAAAATAACAAAAATGGAAATAATATTTAGATGCTTCCTCCTCCTCCTCAGTCTTCCTCAGTCATCCTCCTCCTCCTCCTGAGTCCTCCTCCTGGGTCCTCCTCCTGGGACCTCCTCCTCTTGGGTCCACCTCCTCTTCATCCTCCTCCTCTTCCTCCTCAGTCCTCAGTTCTCCTCCTCAGCTCAGTCCTCCTCCTCAGTCCTCCTCCTCATCCTTTTCCTCAGTCCTCCTCCTCAGTCCTGCCCAGTCCCCCTCCTCCTCCTATTCACTCCTCCTCCTCCTCCTCCTCCTCCTCCTCCTCCTCCTCCTCCTCCTCAGTCCTCCTCCTCCTCAGTCCTCCTCCTTCTCAGTCTTCCTCCTCCTCCTCAGTCCTCCTCCTCCTCAGTCATCCTCCTCAGTCCTTCTCCTCCTCAGTCCTTCTCCTCTTCCTCCTCCTCCTCAGTCTTCCTCATATTCCTCAGTCCTCCCCCAGTCACCCTCCTCCTCAGTCCTCCCCCAGTCACCCTCCTCCTCATCCTCCTCATCAGTCCTCCTTCGCCTTCTCAGTCCTCCTCTTCAGTCCTCCTCCTCCTTTTCCTGGTTCCTCCTCCTCAGTCCGCATTCTCCTCCTCAGTCCTTCTCAGTCCTTTCCCCAGTCACCCTCCTCCTCATCCTCCTCATCAGTTCTCCTTCTCCTTAGTCCTCCTCCTCAGTCCTCCTCCTCAGTCTTCCTCCTCCTCAATCCTTTCCCCAGTCACCCTCATCCTCATCCTCCTCATCAGTCCTCCTTCTCCTTCTCAGTCCTCCTTCTCAGTCCTCCTCCTCCTCTTCTTCCTGGTTCCTCCTCCTGGGTCCTCCTTCTCCTCCTCAGTCCTCCTCCTCTTCCTCCTCCTCCTGGGTCCTCCTGATCCTCCTCAGTCTTCTTTCTCCTTCTACTCCTCAGTCCTCCTCCTCCTCAATCCTCCTCTTCCTCCTAAGTCCTCCCCTCCTCAGTCCTCCTAAGTCCTCCCATTCTCAGTCCTCCTCCTCATCAGTCCTCTTCACCAGTCCTCCTCCTCAGTCCTCCTTATCCTCATCCTTCATCTCCTTCCTTCATCTCCTTTCTCCTCCTCATCCTCCTCATACACCTCCTACTCATCAGTCCTCCTCCTCACTGCTCACTCCTTCTCCTCCTCCTCCTCCTCCTCCTCGTCCTTAGTCCTCTTTATCAGTCCTCATCAGTCCTCATCAGTCCTCCTCCTCCCCAGTCCTCCTTTTGGGGCCTTTTCCTGGGTCCTCCTCCTGGGTCCTCCTCCTCTTGGGTCCTCCTCCTCTTGGGTCCTCCTCCTCATCCTTCTCCTTAGTCCTCCTCCTCCTCAGTCCTCCTCTTGAGTCCTTCTTCTCCTCCTCCTCCTATTCATTCCTCCTCCTCAGTTCTCCTTCTCAGTCTCACTCCTCCTTCTCAGTCCTCCTCCTCCTCTTCTTCCTGGTTCCTCCTCTTGGGTCCTCCTTCTCCTCCTCAGTCCTCCTCCTCTTCCTGGGTCCTCCTGATCCTCCTCAGTCTTCTTCCTCCTTCTACTCCTCAGTCCTCCTCCTGCTCAATCCTCCTCTTCCTTCTAAGTCCTCCCCTCCTCAGTCCTCCTAAGTCCTCCCCTTCTCAGTCCTCCTCCTCATCAGTCCTCTTCACCAGTCCTCCTCCTCAGTCCTCCTTATCCTCATCCTTTATCTCCTTTCTCCTCCTCATCCTCCTCATACACCTCCTTCTCCTCATCAGTCCTCCTCCTCACTCCTCAGTCCTTCTCCTCCTCCTCCTCCTCCTCGTCCTTAGTCCTCTTTATCAGTCCTCATCAGTCCTCATCGGTCCTCCTCCTCCCCAGTCCTCCTCATGGGGCCTTTTCCTGGGTCCTCCTCCTCTTGGGTCCTCCTCCTCTTGAGTCCTTCTTCTCCTCCTCCTATTCATTCCTCCTCCTCAGTTCTCCTTCTCAGTCTCACTCCTCCTCAGCCCCCCTCCTCTCCCTCCTCAGTCCCCCTCCTCAGTCCCCCCTCCTCCTTTTCCTCTCTTTCATCTCTCAATAATTTGTTCAATTTATAATTATTGTTGGTGTTATTGTTAACATAATTTATTGTTATATACTAAAATGTTTTTAAGCGCATTTGAGTCTGACTCAAAATGTGCTCAAGAATCTTTGTGTTTAACAAAGTTTTACTCTCCAGTAATAAAACTTTTCATCCCTTTTTATGTTATTAAAAAATGTGTAGACTATTCTTTGTGCCTAATTGAAGATTAAAAGTTTGAGAAAGGACCATGGTCATTAACCGGGCTACCCATTTCTGCAGATAGCCTGTTACAAATTGTGGAGAAAATTTAAATCAAAAGTTACAATTTTTGTCCGTTTATGTCCGTTTTTGTCCGTTTTTGTCCGTTTGGCAGCTATATTTTCAAAACGGACAAAAATTAACGGACAAAAACGGACAAAAACGGACAAAAAATAACATGAGCCCCCCCCCTCTACTAAAGACACCCTAGGAGGGGACAGCCACTGAGGCGCTAGATATAATTAGAAATGAGCTAGCCCAATTTAGAAAAATTCTCATTGAGAGGGATACAGGCATACTCTGACTTTGGAAGGGCAGAATGAGTCTGATAAGATAACAGAAGAACTCTAGTCCTCAAAGGTGTAGAAACATGTTGCATCAAAACTGCCCAACATCCCTATGGTGTCAAGGAAGGCACAGCTAGGTTAAAATTCAAGAACAAGGAACTCATGGATAAAGCTAAAGATGCCCTTAGTTTGGACTACTAAGTGTCTGCAAAATCCCACAGTACAGCGTGGCAATGCTTGAACCTAAGCTTACTATGTTTGATCTTAAGGGAGATTTTGAGTCATCTGAAGACTTGTGCCAGAGTATCCTTGATAAGAACAGTTCTATAAAGAGTTTAGTTGAAGACGGGAACGATACTTTTAAGGTTGTTTTCTTGGAGAATAACAAGACCTGGGCATACCAGGTAAGTGTTATATAAGTGTAAGAATTATAATGCCGACCCAGTTTCCACTGTGCAGGTGCCCACAAATCGAAGGATTGTGCAAGAGAAAAAAGTCGGGTAACAAGTATCAAGTTAACAAATTCTTTGAGAGTACGAACTTTCGAAAAACAAATTTTCGCCGATGTACCTCTCCAGGAGTTGGTTCAATCGAATAGAGATGACATGGCTGATGGCTGTCAAAGAAACCAGAACAAGAACAGCATGCAATCTATCTTCATTCTTCATAATAATATGAAGATACCAAAGTTCTCTGAACTGAAGTCGACTAGCAGTTCAGCAACTATTTACTTATTTACCTGAATCATGGAATTCTCTCTAGTGAAATAAGTGAAGTCAATCCCGATATAGGGATTCCCGAATCCCGGAATTTCCCGATGATTTTCAGTCGGAAATTCCCGACCGGGAAATTTTCTCAATTCCCGATTTTCGGGAATTTTAAATATTTGGGTTCGTTACAGTTGCAAATTTTAGAATATTCTATGTAATTTAAAAAATTAAATTAAAAGTTGGGTCATAGCATAAACTGATAAACATGACGTTAG